TCGTAAGGTTCAAGATTTTGCTATGGCTTTACGGGCCCGAAAAGTTTCCGGGGCTTTCGAGAAACGGGCCCCTGGTCCGGTACTGAAATACACCACCGAGAGACAAACGTTACCTTTGCAGCTTCGTAATGAGATTTCTGAGGAACCTGTCGGGGGCTTGGATTTAAAGTACCCGCATCACTAACAATGCTACTGATACTTTTCCAGTTAAACACGGTTGTTCAGCTGGTAACCTTAGAGCGCTTAAAGCCTTTACCCCTGACTGAAATAGCAGCATGCCCACGTACGAGCGTGCACGAGCACACGCGCGTCTCGCGTGCGAGCACTTACAAATAGAGAAAATAACATAATATAGACGCGTCTGACTGCCAGTTCCTCAATTAGTTGTTTATAAAACGGTTAAATAGCGCGCTTTGGAGAAATATGTAGCAAGTCACACAGGAATATCTTTAACCACTCAAAACGAGTTTTTAATAATGGAAATATTTGTAGATGCTATTTCATATTTGCTGCTTTGGGGAGAAAAGAAACATTTATGACCTTTCTTGCAAATTCAACGTTAAGAAGTTCAAATTAAAGATCTCACAATGCGTAGGAATTTTTACCCCTGAGAACAACCAAACTAAGATTGGATTAAAAAAGATCACATAACGTTCATAGATAACAGAGCTGATGCTTAAGCTCCAGACTTTTAATTCTATTAGTTTACAAATGTGCCTCCTTCCGCAGCTTCCTTTCCCACTCTAAAATCTTCACGACTGTACACTGACTGCATATTGACCAGCAAGCTGATCGAAATCTTTTTCCTGAATAAAAACAAATAATAAATATTGACTCAGTTTAATCCCAACAATATTTAATTTGCATCTCCGGGCAGAAATTTGTTACCAGAATTTTCCTTTCAGAACTCTCAAGCATTAGTTCTAAGGCACAAGTGTTTGAAATAAAGTGGTCTAACTATTTTCAGTTACTTTTGCCATGAGATGCCCCAATACATGTATACATCTACAATTAGAATTAGTTTACAAATAGTACAATTACAAGTAAAATTTTTTGCCAACCTTTTCCCATTACTATTAGGAATATTGCTAAGCCCGTAAGGTCTTAAGGTGTGTGGTTGTGTTAATAACAGACCGCCAGCCAAAGCTGAACAAATGACCTACCTTTGCTACAAAATCTTTGGTAAAGGGGTGATTGGGGTGACTGTCTTTAAGCTGAGAGATGTATCGTGTTGTAACCTGAAGGGTGTACAATTATAAAGTGAGAAACTATTAATGCCAGCATTGTTGTAAAAATTATTTAAGGCTAATTTAGCATAAAATTGAAAATAGAAGTTCAGCGGAATTTCCCTTGGAGGGGAAACCGGCATTGGTTGAAAAGTTAAAAGAGCAATGTTGCAGGCATGCCATCAATACAAGTTCGCATAGATGTCCTACTTACCTCGGGGGCTTTTCCCAAGTGCTGTGACAAAACTACCATGTTAATTAGAGTCTCTGGATTACTACTGTCCTACAAAGGGAAACAAAACAAAAGAAAGGAAATTTTCTACACTTTTCCAAATAATAGCTTGCATTATCAAGCAGAAGTTTAATGGGATTCGACTGCCAAATACAATGAATTTTGCATAAGCTACATGTACTGTAGCCTTGATGATGTCTCATTTCTCTTGTTGGTCACTCATATCCATCTTCTGCAAGAATGACATTTGAGATTCCAGCCAAAAATTCTAGATAGCACTAGNTTTTTTACTCGCTGCTAGAGATAAATGGAATATAAAAGTTATCTGCTGAAAAGTTGAAGAGGAATGATTTTGTTTTATTCAAAACGCAAATTTTCATTTCACCAGTAAACAAGAGCTAATGCAATTATCAAATAGTCACGTCGAGTCACAGAATACTGCGTTCTCATTCTGTTGCTAGCTATGGTGTTAACAATAAAACACGTCAAACTAATACACAATGCTATGGAGTAATAGAACTGAGGAGCGTTTCAACAAGAAGTATTGACAGAAGGAAGAGATCTTTACTTGACCAACATTATATCCCACATTGGTGAGGGAGTCACCTCATTGACTGATAAAATTCATTGGCGGTTTTCAATAAGTGTCACGGAGTCTGCCACAATAATAACAAAGTTTCAAGCTCCTAAGGAGAAGCAATATGTTTCCATTCTTAATTTGAACCCTGGCAAACACACAACGGACAACATTTCTTGAATCGAGCTATGGAAGATTCCAGAAGATACGAAGCTACAGTAGCATTCTTTGCAACAAAAAAGGAGAACTGATGTTACCTGAAATATAGCTGCTATCCCTGGCCAAAATGAGAGTGTGGTATCACTCATCGCAAAAAATAAAAAATGTGTGCATCTGAACTCGAGAATGGACTTTATCACACAAGCAATGCCAGAATGCATGCGTCTTACATGTTATGTTCTACCACAAGGAAAAGAACTCAACGTTCGTGGGTAGTCTTGTATGAAATGTATCTTTCACTTAACATATGGTCAACTTTGATGCTAACTAATCTGCGCATGCGTTTAGGGCAAATTGCTTTTGTTCTTAAGAGAATAGCACCACAAGGATAGCATGAGATTTGCGTAATGCACACGGACACCTATAGCTACCCCACCCAGCCCTCCCCTTCCCACAAGGCTAATTGATTAATTGAAAGTAATTAATTAAACAAACATTAAAGTTTACACCTTATTGCGTTATCGCCTTATTGGACTAGTGCCTCATTGCACTAGTGCCTTATTGCTTTATTGCGTTAGTGCATTATTGCGTTACTGCTTTATTGCATTAGTGCCTTATTGCTTAGTACCTTAGCGGACAGCAGCCCCCTAAACCATCCTAATAGTGCACTCTGCACTAAAAAATGTACAGCGTATATTGCATGTTCCCACTTACCACAGCAAGATTGAACCATGCCAGGGAGAGTTGTGTCAGAGTGGCATCATCATCTTGGTCCTACAGAAGAGTTAAACTACATTGTACATTTAACCTGGCTGAAGGCATTCTACATTAACAAATAAGAACATTGAAGTTTCCACAAACACAAAAAGTCATAGCATCACTATGTATTCAGGGTATTACAGACATTTGCATGAGCATGAGCATGTACCAAGGTTGCAATGACTACATTACAAATAGTTTACTTGTGTTGAACCAATGTCCAATCAGTCATGCAAGTAATTTATAACTAAGAAGACATACCTGCATTCTTTTTAGTTCTTTCCTACCAAAACAAAATAATTAACATGACAACGATTAGCCCAGCAATTTTAGGGATTTTTAAACATATCTCAAAAGACATTCTTTCATCAAAAATTCAACTCACTTGGCTAAGTCTATTCTGTCCATGCTAATGTAAATTTGCACTGACAGTGATGAGCTGGAATGGAAAAAAAGACATAAATTCTGCAATTAGAACAAGAAAACAGGTGCTACTGTACATGTATATGTAGAAGAACATGAGTCATGTACATGTAGTAGAGTAGAAATATAGATGGCCTCCTTTGGTTTGAAGTCAAAGGAAATGTAGAATATTACATGTACATGTACAGTGCAACTGACAACCCAACCTAACAGCTGACAATTACAGACAATAGAGGTGGTACAAGTAAGTACATGTATGTATGCAGTGGACACATTGCCCTACATGTTAACAGATACAACTTTAACCAACTGATTCTGAAATATTTTAAAGCATCAAAAAACTCGTGTATTGCTTACCACTCCAGTGATTCTGATTGATGAAGACATCGCAATGCAGATTCATAATTCTGTTTCAAAAGGGAAACAACATCAGGTTGGAATTCATAAATTCTGGTTTAAAAGTTTAAAATCTACACTGTTACACAAGTTTATTAAACTGAGCATGGAAACTCTAACATCGCTGTTTATACAGTGTACTTGCACTATTGCACACACATATATATTCAGATGTGTGTAGGTAATTACCTTAAGAAGCCTCTTTTGTTAACAGAAACCCTGATTACACAATTCCGAACAATTCACCACACAATTGAATTACCTTTTCCACTCAATTTGCCTCCAAAATCCCACACAATACAATTTGTTTTCCCATACCCTGTGGGAAGCCCTGTTTTCTGCTGTACAATGTTTGAATCAGTTGAACGGTGTAGTAATTAATTATAGGAAAAATTTTACTTCAGATAAAAAACTGTACATATAAAGTAAAGTTGTATGACTTTTGTATATCAAAAAGCAAAAATGAGATTAAGTTTCCAATGTACATCTGTACCTGTTCATTGAAGTATATAGATGCAGCCATTAACAAGTCATAGTCATTGAGATCACTAGAGTTTAACTTCTTTTCTATGGACTTCAAGATTGAATCCCTATATTGAGCCACATTGTGAAAGGAATACAAATATTATTATGGACAAAAAATATTTATTTTTTTTATTTTCACCATACTGTATCTATAATATACAGAGCACAGTACAGTACAGCCATATAGTGCCTCCTGACATGAGAGGTGATAGGGGATCATCATTATCTGCTTATATCATCATCTTCTGCATACATCTGCACTGTACAGTGCATCCCATGAAGGCCTTGATTATTACAGTAGCCTGTATAGCTGGCGGGATTCGCAATTAAGTAAGTTCTGGCGGCAGAGCTACCATTTTATTCCCTCTCAGGTGTGCAAGGGATCTTGTGCACAAAATCCCGCCAGCTACACGTACGCAGGCTATTATTACAGACAGAAACTTTCTTTTGAGTGGTACTGTAGCTGTGTAGCAGCCATCACCAGGTAACTGAGAGACAACAAGTGAGAGACATTACTCATTACATACCTCTTGCTAGGATTCTGGTGATAATCGGCTAACATTCTGACAGGCTGTACTTCAGGAGGAGATGATGATGACACCTCATCCAAAACAACTCTGTGCTTACCCTAAGTAAAATAACAAATAAATACGTAAATAAAAAACGTGCCACCCGAGATGTGAAAAATTCTAACTTAAAATGTTCAAATGTTCAAGGGGTCATAAGATTCAATGCAGAATCCAAGTACAAACTTTGGGCGTTTTACTGCCCTACATGTATATTATATTGATCAATTATTGATCAATGTACATGTAACTCTCCTGTAAGTGGACATCTGCCATATTTTTCTTGATGTCTGTTTATGGGTATAATTCTCGTAAGAGGAGAGCTCTACTAACGGATACTTTTTCCAATTCCCTAGGGTTCCCGAGGCTTACTAGAGAGTTGACTGTAACTGGACCATTACTATCATGGTGTAGACCAAAGGCTTTGATAGAAAAAAATTGGTTTTAAAAGTAAAACAAAAGAAAGTGAAAAAGACTTTGATAAAAAAAATTGGTTTTAAAAGTAAAAACAAAAGAAAGTGATATCACTTAAACCAACAAAGGTAAAGAGCCTCAGCACTATTGTGCTAAGACTACAGTATATACATGTACAGAGGTTGAAGGATCAGCATGATACCTTGAATCAATTTTGAGTCTTTCTGAAGTCAAGATGCAATCATCAGCGAGTTATTGATGACTGCTGTATCTACAACTCGGCGCGAAAAGTTCTTCACTTGGTATTCAACACCCATTGAACTGTAATAAACGCTTTTCCACTAGGCTTAAGCTTATTGTCGGTCACCACAAAGTTAATTCGAACACGATCGAACAACCCAACGTTACACTAACCATACAGTACATGTACACGAACAAGCCAGAATCTTGTTTACGACATTTCCTTGGCAATCAGATGTCTTTAACAAGATTGAAAGTTACTTACCTGAGCTGTATAAGCCCTGTACATGTAAACATCCTTTTCAATGGCCAATTCACGAGAGGAAGGCTATAAGAGACAATGCAGCTGAATTCAGACAAGTCACAGTGCATAATATTTCAACCTTACCTCAAGAAGTTTTCACTAGAAGAGATTGAAAATGTAACATAAGTTGCAAAACTTACATGTAACTTCTGGGCTTCGTTTACACAGAACTGATAATTGCCGATGTAGAAGGAATTCCTGATTTCGAAGAGTTCATCCACGTCACCACTGGCAGCCATGTTGCTTTTCTTGTCGAAATGTTGCTCGTGCCCAGGTCAGCCGTGTACTAATCATTGCCCTGAGGGGCCCTGGGGACAACTTGAGTCTTGGACCATGATTTTTACCGGTTTCCTCTGAGTTTGGATTAATCTCTGGCTAAAAGTCCTTAAACTGTTCAACCGCAGCACCTACAGACCTTAAAATATTTTTTTAAAAGAAGGGAATTTAACCAGAAGTAAAATTTTCGGTCAACTCCCGAATAGGAATATTTTAGGGACGAAAACCAGTGGTGAAGATTGGATTCTTAAATCCGAAAACGGATTTTGCGTTTCTTCACTTAACAGATCAATCCAAGATCTCTCAGATCATGTTGCGTCAAAGGAACCGAAGAATCCGCTCTGGGAAAGGATTCTACGGTTCCTTTGATGCACCATGATCCGACTGATCTTGCCGGATTGATCTGTTAAGTAAGGAAATTAATCTGTGTAGAAAAGAAACGCAAAATCCGTTTTCGGATTTAAGAATTCAATCTTGGATTTTCTTAAAGAAACGCACCCTTAGTCAAGGATTTTCAGTGCCACCTTTCTCTTGTCCCAGGTTCCCACCGTCTAAGAGAACAGAACAGGTGACTCTGGGGGCCCACGAATGATATGAGCGTGGAATCTAAAGCACGTGTCTGTGAAAAACCTTTCTAATTCTTTTATAAGACAGGTGGATTTTTACGCGGCATTTGAAAACGGAGGTTTCACTCTGAAAACGCATCAAATGTTTTCCGTCCACACTACGCCGGAGGAATTTAAAAACGCAACAATCACCGGTCATTTTGGATTCATGTTTGGGGGAAACGGCTCCGTCAGGTAAATCATATGATAACCGTGACGCCATCGTTTTCGAAAAGCTCCGTTTTCAAAGTGTTTTCCGCCCACAAGAAAACGAAGAGCCGAAGTTTTCAAATTCCTCCGGTTTAAAGAGCGTTTTTGAAAAGCTCCGTTTTCGTGACGGATCAGTGTGGACGGTAGGCCTAACCGTAGAAATAAAGCTGCGTTTTCAAAGTTCTTCGGAGTAGTGTGTACGCTGCCTGAACTGACACAAGGATTTCGATCTCGTTCGTGAAAGCGTTATTTGTACCGTTTATCAGTTTCTTTCATAGATATACCGATAAAATAATTGAAAATACATGCTGTACAAGCACGTCTGGCAAACACGAAATCATGATAAAAAGAAAAAGCTTAAGAGAAGGGCTGCCAGGGATACTCGTGGACAACCCGACACAGCAGAACAACGCTTTCATAAGATGAGTCTTCTACTCTTCAGTTTTGGTTGAGAGTGCAATGTCCCCTTTCACGGCTTCGATGTCTTTATAACTTAACAACACGTCAAGCCATACGAACTACCTCAAGCCATATCGTTTAATTATTCACGAATTATCAACAAAATACCACTATAAGTTCATTTTCAACCGCATTTGAATTTGACTGAAGCATCATCCGTCAAGAGCAAATGAGCGGATCTTTTGTATCCGCTAAACGCTCAAGAGACCGCACTATAACTTCGAATTTGTCGGATATAAATGAACGTGACATTGTACCAAGGAAGAATGGGTTCATTTGGACAGGCGGATTTGGAAAACTGCATTTGCGGAAAGCACCTGCAGAGAACAGAAGCCAAACTATATACAAAACAATACAGAATCGGTCTTTGATGATAAAAACACAGAATGCATGCAAAATAGAGTGGTTCAAATGAGTGGCTTCACATCTTTGGCCGAATCGAATCAGTTCAGGGCGTTTTCATGTATATCGATAGACAAAAAGTAAAATCGCACCAGCTTTTTCGGTGGGATTTACAGACTGCTCCGTTGAGCTGATGCAAAATTAAAGGCATGACTGTATTTCAAATCAGTTGCAAAAACACAGTGGTGTTCTTTAATTCATCTAAGTCGACTCGTGTTCTGTAAAATTAGAAAGTTCAGCTGGTTATAAAGTTGCAGAAAAAGAAAGTTAAAGGGTCTTTAAGAGAAGAAGCAAACAGCAATATTTTGATAAGCATTTCAGTTGACAAAAGACTATACTTACATGCAGGTTCACTTTCAAAAATAAACTAAGGAGAAACAAGACGAGAGTAAAGAAATATTTTCTTTAGTTTATCTCTAGCTCATAAACTGAAGCGTCTTCATCCCACAGTAACTGTTGTTGGAAAAGACGCTCGCGAGCGGTGAAGACTATATGTACACTGATTTATATTTACGATCAACCTTTTAATATGAAATTTTTTCAATAATATGCTTCATAACTCGAATTCCTTGAAAACATTTCCATGCAGTGAAGTATTCTGAAACTTCTATAGTTGGTATGAGGTCAAAATCAGCTTGGGCACCTCAAGGAAAAGTGATCTCGAGTTACAAGATTTCGGTCAAAAATTAAAGCATATAATCAGAACTACAAGTAACCACAGTCTAAATTTAGGACATTTAAAACTTTGGATATGTCGTACCACTGAAATATTTTCGATTCGACTGGAAAAGACGGAGCACTTCAACATTTTATGATTTCGCCGAGTTTCATTCAAAGTACTCAAGGCATGCCTTGCCTTGATAACCGCGCGTGATGTAATAAACAAGGTCGTAACGTCATGTAAATTCATTTAACAGATATAATTCATAGTTTGGCCTTATCAAAAACGCCGACGGTATTTCTACATCAAATATGCTAAATAAAATTAAATATATTGGCAGAATCGTGACGAAATTAAAACATTGGATTTAAATGGGCTTCGTGACAGTTTCTAGAATGCGCAGTTCTAGAGATTATTAATTTGTCTCAACGCTTCGTGCTAAAGACTGGACAACTAAGAGCTTGCTTGTAACTGGCTCCGCTGTTCGTAAACCCCATTTGCGGACAAAACCTTACATTTGATTTTTATTTTCAGCAGCGAATCATAAAAGACCGTGGATAACTCTTGTGTTTTACAGAAGATTAGGCCAGCTGTTTATATTCTGGTAATACGTTTGATATAAATGCGTTAAAAAACAGCGGAACTAGTGATATCTACATGACAATGACGAGAAGGAAGTCAATAGACGATGCTTACGTCTCTGGAACAAAAACTGACTTCCATGTTGATAACAAAACCGGCAAGGAGAAAAAGGGACTGATTTTCTATATCAGAATATTAATGAAGCTCCGAACATATGAAAGATCAGTACCGTCGAAGCGTACATTTCTCGTCTTCAGCTCCTCTACGGATATTTTTCTGGCATAGTATGGCAAATCAATCTTATTTGGAATATTCCGCTAACAGATCGCTCTCAGTGGAGAATAATCTGCCGCATGAATATGATTACGGCAAGTTCTTTTTGAGCTTTCTAGTAATTGCTTCCACTTTGCTAGGTAACTCGGTAATTATATTTTCCTACTGCCAAAACTACAAGATGAGGACTGCCACGAACACGATGGTGTTGAACCATTGCCTCGCAGACACGTTCCTGGTTTTGTCAGACATTGCGTTTTATGTAACGCCAGCTTACATCCCAAGTCTGATGGACGGCGATGTCTTTTGCACTCTGTCAGCTTTCTTCGATAGCTTGTTCAAAGCAGCTTCGATTCTAAGCATGTGCGGCATAGCGCTCGACAGATACGTTCACCTGGTTAGAAACTCTCGTAAGCGAATGTCCAAAGAGCGAACAATGGTGGTCATAACTTGGTGCTGGTTGCAGTCTGCAGTCGTGGCGACTCCATGGAACAAACTGGCAAGACTCGAGAAAATTGTAAACAAGGGAGCTTTATGCCATACACTCCCACGCCTTTTCGAGGCTGGATTACCGTTAAAAGCCCTGTCCGTGTTCTACAAGATGGTCTCCGTTCTCCTTCCTTTACTCGGTATCTGCTACGTTTCTTACCGCGTTTTTAGTACAGTGCGGCGGAGACGGAAAGTTAAAACACACGAAGGTTCATTACAAGTCGCAAACCGAGTCCCTTCGGAAAGTTTCGTGACGCGCGCGCATGCCAGATCACCGATTACGGCCATCATCTTGCTCCTGGTGTATATTTTATGCATGACACCGTTTTTCGTCGCAATTGTTTGGACGATGTTCCCGAAAACTCGTGTTCTCGCCCCCGGGACGGCATTTGCTGTGTACTTCTTGTTTCGTCTGAAAGGATCTCTATTACCAATCCTCTACATCTTGAGAAACCGTTTCGTTCTCAGCTACCTTCACAAACTTGTGTGCTGTAGTTTTGCAAAGAAGGCAGGTATTGCGGAATATTCGAACGCGTCTGTTACGAACAATTTAGGAGGTCGTGCAGAGTGGAACTGGGTTTCACCAAGGCAAGCAAGAGGCGGGAATGGTTTTAACAGAAGAGGAGTGAGACAGGAGTCAAGAGTATTCTATGGAGTAAAAACCCTGACAGTAACTTTTGATTTTACTGATCTCAAAAGAGCAAGAGGAAACTCTCGTGTATAAAGCGGCAACTCGATTTAGTTAGTTAATAATCGGTTGCTCAAAATCATACTTTGTCTCAATTTAGGCGGGCGCAACAAAATAAAGCTCTTCGCATTAAAATATAAAGAACTTTTTATTGTTGCTGCTGTTTCTTTGGAGGCGAATAGCTCGATTTTATAATAACAAGTGTTATAATTTTGGTCACAGTTGTAAATTATATTGAGCGACTTTTTTATGAATTCAACCTCAACCTTACTAAGAGTAGACCATGAATTACCCGAGCTCAAGCTGATGTTTCCGCTAAGAAATGTTTGAAATGACATCAGTTAATGATTTGTAAACAAACCTAAAAAGAACTCGATAGAAATTTAAATTAATATACGTAATATATTAAACACGAAAGACCGTGTTTGACCACATTTCCAAACACCGAGAAGAAAGTTGGCTATACAACGCCTAGCGGAGCATTTTTGACGAACTTGAAGGTGTTTGGAAATGAGGTCAAACACGGTCTTGAGTAGTTGATATATCTTCTCAATCGAAACTTAAACTAGGAGGAAACGTGGAAATAAAATCGTAAAAATCTATGCTAATTAAGATCAGATATCGAAACACCTTCACGCTCATGATTTTCTTGGTTTAAACTTGATGAATTACAAATGAGTATGAGAAGCAAATTGTAAGTCCGCGAATAAATGATGGTTATTTCGAAAAGAAAATTTTTTGTTTCATTTTTTTTTCGAAAATTATCAGGATTTACAGTAAAAATAAAATGAAATAAAATAACAATAAAAGAATGTTTAGGGAAGAGGACTGCAGGTGAAGAAAATGTTAATGAACATATTTCCATTCAGCATTCTACAATATTTATCAGAGCTGTCGAATCAAACCTATCATCACATGACGGGAATTAAAACATGCAGGTTTTTCCAAGTGGAAACTGGATAATCGAGTCCATCACGCTTTAAATCGCAATTCAAAATTTGTAAGCAATTGAGTTTAAGAGGGTCTGAGTAGGTAAAGGAGCCTCAACCCACAAAATCATTTTGGATTATTTTCCGTAACCAACATTTTAAATCACGAGGCTTCAAATGCGACGTATTGACGTTGTGATAATAGAGAGGTTAAGC